TACGACTCCTTGTCTATAGCTGGTTGCCTCTTCCCCTGAAATACTTTCATACATACTTTACTCAAACACATAGTCAGATGGTTCAACAGATTCCTCTGCTTATGTTCAGGTACTTTCTTCGACTTGCCCTTTGAGTCTCAGTATGTGTGTGCCTAGCCAGCCACTCTGGTAACAGTCCATTGAAAGAAACAGTTGTGGGGTTTCTGTACTTGCCCTGTTCGAGGTTTGTCTCCACACTTCTTCATGAAAACTCGCATGAGATAATGTTGTGAGCCATAGCAGAGCATGATACTGTTAGGGTCACCTTCATCTTGTCTGATGAACCTGCAGCACACTAAGTGCTAATGTTTAGGCACTGAATTTTCTCCTAGAGGTGGGCCATGCCGCTACTGGCAACACTACCAGAATTTGGGGCTCAGAGCATTTTTCAGGTCGTTGCTGAGCTTTGTTCAATGCCTATATTGCAGCGTAAAGATCTGAAACACCAGTTCCCATTCTCCCGAACAATCAAAGAGTGTGTGTGATGGGTGGACAGGAGCAACGCAGTCTACCGTGGCAGAAGCTGAAGGCTTTACCAGGATCTTTGCACAGCCAAAATTTTGTAAGAAAAAAAGTAACATCTGCAGGGGACAGTGCAGACCAGGCAAATAAGAAGGTGTGTTTTCTGACCTCTGATTTGGTTGTGACTCAGGATTGAGAAACCACCTTTGCCTAACATGGAGGATCAAATCTAACCTCTTCCCATGGGACATTGGGAGAATATCTTTAATGATTATCCTGTGCAACAAATGTATCAAATGCTTCAATTCATTCCAGGTATGGCTGGACATAAATACAAGTGAAACCTCTGGGAAGTCCAGATGCTTAAAACCTGAAAATCTTACTTTGTTTTACAGAGCTGGAGTTCAGGATTCATAAAGCAAGATAAATCTGTCCTTTAGCTGCTAAGACTTTAAGCATGGTCAGAACATCAACCCTTTCTTTTTCCCTTAAATATTCTTAATAGTATTCCAGGGCAATCTATGCCTCATACAAGAGCAACAAATATGTGTTTGCTAATTCTTGGCTGCCAGTTCTGTTAAAGATGAGTAAGACACACTTATTGCCCATCGAGTGTTTTGTTGTGGAAACAGTTTATTCATTTTTCAAAGGAATTAAATGTTTAAAATGATGAAAACAGAGCCTTGCCAGCTATGACTATAATACAACCTGCTCATAGTAAATCTTCCTCCGGCACATGTGGCCAGCAGCTTGTTCAGAGGCATTTTCCCAAACATTGTCAGGTCAGAAGAGAGACGTTCAGCCTCTAACAAAGAGTGAAATCTGTACAAAACCCCACTGGCCATTCTTGTCCTTGCTGTTTTACCCCATCAGTGGTGAGACAGTGGATGAGCTCGGGATGTTGTTGCAGCTCTGTGGCCTGGTCCCTTGTACAAACCTGATGGAAAAGGTGTGCAGAAAATGGCAGCTGCGAACTGGGTCCAGTGGCATCCAGTGCAGAGGCTCTGAGATTGAGTTGCAGGCTGGCAGGCTTCACTTCCTTCCCTCGTGGCAGTACTTCTAAGCAGTACAGTCTTGCCAGTTCAAGTTTGGCATCCATGCCCAATTTATAATTGTACTTCCACATGTAGCTCAGACTGACAGCAAGAATTGCATATAGACATAAAACTCTCCCTACTCTTTCTCTTCTCAGTGCTTTAACCAGTGCACAGGATTATTTAAAAAAAAAATACCTGTGTGAGAAATGGTGAAAGCAAATCATAAAGAGAATAGCATAAAGGATATTTGAGCTGCAAATCGGTAGAAAGGCTTTGTGAAACACATAATGTGTGCCTGCTATGCTAAGCCCTGAGCCATTAATACTGTTGTTTCCTCCAATAATCGCCCTGAATTATTTGCACATAACCTCTCTTTCTAGTAATACTTTGTGATCCAAAAAACATAGTTTGTCCTTGAAAATTGGGGGTCGTTATCAAGAGCCCTCACTTTGGACAGGTTACAAATGCATAACCGTTCACAAAGAACATTTTTCCAATGCAGCATTCCTATATTTGATTGATTCACATGAGGAATAGAAACTTTAACCAGAATGTCAATTTTGCTGCAGTGAAATTTAACAGCTTGATTCATTACCATCTGTTTAAGGGAAAATACATATCATGCTGATGTCAGGGTTTAATGATATAATAATACTTTAAATTATACAGCAATACTGATGGCAGATTCATTCTTTGAGCAGATTGATCTCTTTTGGAGGTACTGTATGACTGCAAGAATGGACAGAATGATTTGGTGTCTTAATCAGGAAAGACAGGAAATTTGGTGCATTAGCAGAAAGGACACCAGAGAGAGGATACTTGACAACACAGTCAGCAGAAGAGTCAAGGGGAAAATCAGCACATTGGATTTTCTGCTGAAGGCAAGATAGAAAGCAAGGACAGTAGCTGGTGGACTGTGAAATCCAATAGCCAGGAGCAGTTGATACAACTGTACCACAGCTGCTGTTCAGCAGCTGATGCTGCCTTCCTCATTTTCCTTGTGCTTTTGACTAAATCTCTATTGTGTGTTTTCTGAGATGAGGAGCCTTCTGTTGGAAGTCATCTTTACATTTTGCTTGTGCAGTACCCAGCACCATGTTCATAACTGCTAATATTTTCACAAATGATAAATTTAATAATGTTTGCTTTTATTTTCTCAGGGATATTCATTTTGCTCACTCAACTTTTGCAAAATAAATCTTTCTGACTCCCATTTCAACCCGGGGCAATATTCTCCTTCAGTGGTAGATGATCCAAGCAATAGAAAACATATCGACAAGGGTCTAGTTAGACAAAAGTAAAATCTGGGAAGTTTGGAAAGCTTTCTGCAGCAGTTATTTATTGGACAAGTTGGCTGCTGTGCATATTTTGCCTGCAGTTCTCAGTGACAGGATCTTTCTCATATGGGCAGGGGAGAGTGGATACAATCCTGTCTGTGTCAAGAGAGCAAACTTTGCAATCCTCAGGTTTCAAAGAAGCCCTTTGGGATGTAAGCAGTTATCCTATCCACCTGCAGGGGTTCATGACCAGCATGTTAGGCTAGATGATAAATTACCTCTGCACATCCTCATTATAATTCAGTACTGGAAGTCCTAATAAGCACAGAGGAAGTTTTTTTCTCAAAATGTCATTTATTTTCCATGATTCTGCAGATGTTTCTTAAAAAAGGGATAAACTTCCTTTGCTCTATTTGTTTTTCTTGTTGTTTTTCCTTAATTATTTGGTTAGAAAGCAGCACATAGGAACGGGTGCTCAGTATATGACACCATATTAAAAGGTACAAAGGAAAACAGAAGTCAACCAGGGCATTATTGTTAATACCGATGTTCCACCTGGGCATTACAATAGTTAAGTGTTGAATGTTAATGATGCTTGTGTAGAATGTTATCCTCCTATTATTTCTTAGCATTAGGGACCAGATTATTAATGAAAAATGATTAATATATAATGGGAGTATTTGATACTTCTTTAAATGAAAAAGTATATGAAAAACTGTCAACTGCTCTAGTCCAAATATATCCAGAAAGAAAAGCATCACAGAGAAAGAGTATTTGTAAAAGAAATAGTAGCAAAAGAGAAAAATATCTTCCAATACTAAGGCCTTGTAGTAGCACTTTTCCTCTGTTTGAGTGTAGGTGCTAAAATTATGTGCTATATTGAAAAGAGCTCAACTGCCTGAATGCAATCTGCTAGTAAGAGCAGATTTCTCTGTGCCCCAGGCTGAAATAATCAGATAAGAGTTTTGCAATTACTTTACTATCCATTAGGAGTAAATCTAACCAATGAATGTTATTAAAATCTTAGAAATTGTTCTTTAAAAGCCAGTGGTTCAGTAGAAATCTGAGGGTGGAAGTGCTGATGCGCTAAGAGGTGCTGGGGACTTGACCTTAGTTAATGGATGGTTACAGGGATGAACTGCCCAGGGTTGTGAGAGCTGATGGCTGCTTGGCTGCCACAACCCTGAGACAGTGAAACTTTCAATAGTGTAAGAAGCAGCAAAGTAAACAGAACCACAACCTTGGCCTTCAGGAGAGAAGATGATGCTCAGGGATCTGTTTGGCAGGATCTCACAGGAAGCTGCCCTGGAAAGCGAAAGGACCCAGGAGAGCTGGTTGACCTTCTTTAACATCCCTGTCAAAGCACAGGAAAAGTCCATTCTGATATGTGGGTAGTCGAGCAAGCGTGGCAGGCAGCCAGTGTGCGTGAATGGGGCTCTCCTGCCTGAGTTTAGACATTAATTGAGCACAGAAATGGACCAAAATAGAGATGTTACTTGATGGAGGGTGGAAGCATTCACTAAAGACAAAGATCTGCAGGAGTTAAAGCTCATGCAAGACTCTAAGGGTAAAAAGAGGGGCTTCTGTAAGTACACTGGCACTAGAATACGTGATCCTGCTGCTCAGGTGGCCAGGTGACTCAGTGACACAGGACATGGAAGAAGCTGATGTGCTTGATATATTTTATTTGTTTGCTTGTTTGTTTGTTTGGTTTTTTACTGATGAGGTCAGCCCTCAGGCACTGAAGCACTGAAGAGAAAGACAGAATAGGGGAGCACTTCAGTTAAGTGGACATAACTAAGTCCACAGAGCCAAGTAGGATGTTCCTAAAGGAGTGGGAGAAGTGGGCTGATGGGAAGCTTTAAGGTCAACAAAGGCAAAGTAAGTCCTGCATCTAGGGCCAAATAACCTCAGGCTAATAGTACAGGCTGAGCCCCAATGGAAAGAAAGCAGCTTTGAAGGTAAATACCTCAGGGTGCCAGAGGAGGAGAGACAGCAATGGGCTCTCACAGCAAAGAATGGCAGTAGCATTGTGGGTTGTATCACCAACTGTATTCAGCAGGTTGATGGAAGTGATTGTTCCTCTGTTTGGCGTGTGTGGGACTGCAGCTGGAGTGAGACTGCATCTCCAGCATCATGTTCAGCTTTGGGCTCCCCAGTGCAAGAAAGAGATGGACAAACTGGAGCAAGTCCAAGTTTTAATGTGCAACCAAGGCTGCCATCAGTGTTCACAGCCCAAAAGAGTTTTATCTCTGTTAGTGAGTCAAGTAACTCAGTTGAACACAGAGTGAACCAAACGAAACATAGCAGTCCATGGCATACAGGCCAGATAAGGTGATATTTTGTGAATCTGAAAGAAAAAAAATACAACAGAGAACAGCATATAATTTTTCTTACCCAGAATGAGAGACCTAAAAATTTTGTATCATCGGCCTGCCCCTTTAGTGCAGCGAATATAGCAACTTAACGCCTGAATGAATTAATTCGGAAAAAAAAAAGAGAGGTACTGATCATCTTCCCAGTTATGACTTGGAAGCTACGTTCTTTAAATGAATGTTTGCATTCTGTGGCAGCAAGCAAGAGCATCAGGGAGGTGGAGGAGACAGCTGGAGTGCTGTAGAAGCTCTGAGTTCAGTGGGATACTGAAGTTCCCTATGTACTTGTCATATTAACAGTGATGAAAGAATAGCTTGTGCTTAGGGACACTGCCCAGTTCCCTTCCATGTATTAAAGTTTTAAATAAAGATTTGTATCCTAGGATTTGTTAAAAACATTAAGGCTATTATAATAAAATATACTTTATTAAATACAAAATATTTTCCCTCTGACATCAAAAAACATATAGACAGGATTTATACAGATATATGTACATTTTTATAAATTAATGCACATATGTTTGTATTTCTCAGCCCTATTTTTTCTGACATTTGCATCATGATGTAACATGTCCAAGTTTTTACAATGTAAAATTAGACAAAGCTCCAAAAATTTTACTGTAAAAGTTAAACACATCAGCTGTTTTCCCCCGTCTACAGATCTTCAGCATCTTTTTCTAACTCAGAAGTTGTGAATTTACGTGAGTGCCTCCTCACTCCTCTGAAAGGTGTCACTAACATCTTCTCACTTCTACTTTCTGTCAAAAACCTTCCACCCAGTCAACTAAAGGCTTAAAGCCAGTAAGAATGCAGTATTCAGCTCAGGCACAGGCACCCAACAAACTTTTTTTAATCTCTGCCACTAATTCTGCCACAGTTTTCACTTGTATCTTCTCAAGTACAGGCCTGTACTTCCTGCCTTACTTCCTCCAGCTGGACACTGCGAAAATAAAGATCCAGATGGTTCGCTTGTCACAGACTGCATTCCTTGTCTCACTTCCCAGATCTGTTGGACAGCAAACTCTACTGCCTGCTACACATTTCATCCATCCATGATACCACAGCTGGAGTTTCTTAACAAACTAAACCTGAATTCAAGGCTCCAAGAGCTAGAAGCCTAGAGGACCAATGATGCACACCACAGCTCCAGTCTAAAGACCTGAATTCATTCAATATTTTTCTCATAAAATCTGGGTGGGTAACTTTTGAGTTGGCAGTCTGTTGCATTCTGCCTGTGCTGCAATCCCACTACCTCTCCTGCTGCTATCTGTAATTTTTCCCTACCTCTTAGGCTGACCAGTGAAACTGCTCTGGCTGGGCATTTTTTCAGCTTCTTAAAAGTTTCTGTGGGCAGTGGATTTTTTCCCTTTGAAGGCCAATACTGCTGATCTGATGCCACTACTGCTGGAAAAAGTGACTGGCTTGCCATGATGGAGTAGCCAGAGCCAGACCTGGAGGTTATGAAAACCAGATATTTGCTTATCTGCAATATCTGGCTTATACCAGATAAAAATCTGGATTCATTGATCTCTACAAATAACTAATGTGCAGAATCCCTTAGCTGGGAACTTCTGTAATGCCATGCACTGCAACACTGCAGTACAGGAAACTCAGCATGGGTACTACTACAGAGTCCACCTGAAAAAAAAAAACACCAAGGGCCTTGGAACACAGCCAGACTCCAGGAGCTTGGCAAGAGTTGACTGCAGAGTTTGGGTTGCTTATGAAAGCTCCAGCCTCTCTCCTGCCCTCTCTCCCCTTTGACCAGTGTCTTCCTCTTCCCAAATGACAGAAGGTGAGCTTAGCATCAACCTGCAAGAACACTGCCCTACTCAGAAGTTCAGTGTCTGAGTGATGACTCTTGGCACAAACCTGAGTCTCACAAAAGCATCAAAAAAATAACAAACAAGCAAGAAACATCACTAAGAAAAAAATCTGTTTGTCAGTCTTTTCTCTCGGTCTTTTCTTTTCTGAGGAGATGCCTTAGTATTACATGAAATGTACACTTAAGGACTATCTCAGAGATTTACAAACAGGACACAACTCTAGTGAAAAAGACAACTCTACTTCTCAAATGCTCCTTTTACTTTCCAAGGAGGCTGCCAGTCTAAACAGGAACAAGATTTTCATTTGAGAAAATATATCTATAAATTAAAGACTAGGGTGGTTGTTTTTTTTCTTCTTGGTGGGTGATACTGGTTTGGTTTTGTTTTAAAGAATACATATTTGAGGAGCATATCTGATCTGGAGTGATTATTAAAGTTCAAATAAGAAAACTCAAACAAAAGTAACAGTTTGAGTTTAGACAGCAGGCAAACAAGAGATGTGAAGATCTCTAAAGACACATAGTCTTGCCGTTGCTTCCAAAATAGTGAGGCAAATAGCCAAAAAAAATAATAATAATAAAAAATTGTAATTTACTACAGCAACCTGCTCATTAGCAATGATGAAAATGTGTTTGGGAGGATTTACTTGATCATGTAAAAACAATCACAGAAGCCTTTAAATTAAGTTCCAAAAAAATAATTTTCTGTTCTAAGGTTGCCTCACAAGAGTACCACTGTTCTGCCCTTGCAGTTCTTATGTAAGCCTTTGTGTGAACATGTCTCTAAAACTGTTTTTTTGTGTAGGAAGCAGGACATCTATGGAATGTTTATGAAGACCTGAAAGGGAGTTAACAACCGCAGTCCTACTTAGTCCTATACTAATTTTACATTATATGGATTCTAGTTTAATTCTTCTGTGCCATCACGTGGCTCACTGTTTTTGGCCCCATGAAAACCTGCTTCTGCTAGATGCAGTTTTAATTTAGGACCTGTATTTATATTTTATAATGTAACATAGTCTAAGTTTATTTTCTCTGTAGCTTATCTCTTCGTGTATGAAAATGACATCCTCCTACCTTTCTCCTTAGCCTTTTGTCTTCTACTATCACAAGAGAGCCAACATCTCCTTGCCCATCATCTCCACCCCACTGCCTCCTCAAAGCATTTCTTCAAGACTTAACTTCTCAAGAGTGGGCCCTATTAACTTAAAAATAACCATTCTGCTACCTATTGGGTGAAAAAAAATGCCAGAGTCCAGCCTTATTTATCCTGAATATACACTTTCATGAAAAAGGTACCAAAGAGGTATGAAGTGGCATAGAATTTAGCAAAACTACATCAAATGTGGAATTAGAAAAATTTGTACGTTTTCTAAAGCAATGGAAGGAGACAAGTGATTTATTTAAACTGTAGACATCAAATAAACTAAAAAGAAAGAATGTAACACCTACAGTGGATCCAGTGAAAATCAACTGTTAATGAAATAGTGACTAGCCATTGTCAGAACTTTGTGGACTCTCTTTTCTTCTGGAAGGCAATAGAGTTCTCAGTAATTCCCTGAATATGTGACTTTGCCAGGTGGCCTCCAGGGAGGACTCATTTCATTCCCATGGACAGACCGCAACTTCTTTTGCTTCTTCTCAAGCTCCTCTCTCCTCTCTTTGTTTTCCTGAGAATAAAAAGATATGTCAAAAAAAGCTCAAATCAAACCCAACCAAACAAAACCCCTACAAAAAAACAACTCCACTAATGGAAAAGTTACAATTATTGTTATACCTTTCTTGTGTGAAATGAAAAGTAAACATCCAACGGAGATTTGCCTTTTGGAGCTCAGTGCCTCAGTCACAGACACTGCACAATGCAACACAAGAGGCTGCACACTGGCTGTCACTTCCAATTAAGGTGACTGTCTCCAGGATAGGCTGGTTTTGTGCACCAACTAAACAAAAAGCCCAACGGAAGAACTAGTGGATCAGGTACTGTACTGCTCTCATATATAATTAGTCTCATATTAATTACTGTCTTTAAGAGAATACCTAAATCACAATGCTGAGTATGTTGTTCTCATGAAACATCGATGCAACATCGTAACTTTTTGTACTTATTAAACCACACTTACCAGGTACTAGAACCAACTGAGAATTAAACAATTTAAACAAAGATTTATCTAACGTATATTATAAGCACTGCAAGGTTCTAATTCCATTTTCTATTATTTCAGACAGCAATGGGCAATCAGGATGATGAAGGATAAGCAAGATACTTGCAACATTCTTTTCGTGTCTATATAACTAATGATTTTCAGGAGACTTGCCATTCGGTATAAAATAAGCATTCTTCTTTGCAAACATGACTGCCATTTCACCACTGCGAGGACCAGCGTCTAAGGGGCATCTGCATTAGCAATTCAGTAAAACGGCGAGCTATCTATAGGTGCACATTTTCCTCACACTTGCAGGTTTGTGGTGCATGCTGATGCACATTTCTGACTGACTTGGAGTGATAGGTTGACATTACAGACCACAGCGTAACTTACTGTGCCCCATTTACTGGGTGGCTAAGAGGTCCTTGAGCAGTTGGCTTTTGGACACATGAACAGTGTGTGTGTTCCTTGGACCAACAACTGGCATGCACATCATAGGTGGTAAACAGGCAGTGTGGATATGCCTACTTAAAATCACCAATTGTGCCAAATCCAGCCTGGGTCCTTTCATCTGTTGCAGCCTACCAGCCTTTGATATGCTATGCTTCATTTTGAAGCACCATAAAAGTGCTGTAGTAGTTTTGTATTTTCACATGTATGCACTGCATTGCAGTGAAACTACTGCTCCTTGAAGATAGCTGTAAGACAACTGATGCTCCTATATAACCCATGATCCAATCCCTCTGATGGACACTGTATATTCCCAAATTCTCAAGATGCTAGCAGTGTTTGCCTGTTATTCATATGTGAGAAGAGAAATAGTGAGGCAACTGTGGCTGAGGGAGTAGACAGGTAAATGAGTGTAGAAGCATTACTGTAAAAAAAAGGAGCTTGAGTGAAAGTTTATTCCTGTTTTAAGCATATGCAGCAGTCAAACTACTGATGTGTACAAAACTTTTAAAAAGGATAACACACACTGAAATATCAACCCTATGATTTTAATCTGTGCCCTTTAGTGCTCTGTTAATGTACATATGAAGATCCAATTCAGTTAGGAACATCCGGTCTAGCTAAACAGACACACAATTATTTCATGTTGTTACTAGGAAGGCTGATTAAAACAAGGCAAAATTTGAATGGAAAAGGAATGCCCTTTGCTAAAATAAGTGATTCAAAAGTTCACCACAGTTAGTCTAATAAAAAATATTATCTCTCTGTACAAACTGTATCTTTCTGGATTACATGGAGTAATTGAGACAAACTGCGCTTGTAGTACTGTAAGATTCTGACTTTTCTCATCCTACACTTTTGCTTTCTTTCTCTTTCCATAGAGATCTTCCTCAGATGAGGAAGTGGTTTTGAGTCTTTAGAACAAGTTCAAGATGTTCTGACATTCTTGAAGTGAACTGTTTAGTACCCTAAGAGGAAAGCAGTCTGCATTATCAGTGGTATTTTTCAAAAAAAGACAAGAAGATATGTCAAGCAGTACAGATGAGCTTGGGAAGAATATGCTCTAACGGAACATATACATGGTACATGCTCCTGTTTTGGAATTTTTGCATATATCCAGTCAATTTATTTTTACAAAATCATAGAATTATAATCTATGAGGCTATGTGTACCATCAGGACATGAAGGTGAAAACTCATTAAAAATAAGACCTATTGTAGCAGTACTGGCAATTATTTGAGCAATCATGTTACAAAAAAATGCGCGTATTTCATGTTTGTCAAGTGCTCTTTACTGAATATATGTGCACAATACATTCATGTATGAAAAACCCAAACGAAAAATAAAGCAAACATGCACCTAGGAAGAGAACAAAAGTTGCTTTGGATTTTTCAATTGAGTCTTAGTGTTGAATGTTTGCATTTGAAGATCCAGTTTTCCTTAATGAATCCTAGTGCCAAGGAAAGAATCTCGAGCTAATTTAACTGTTTTTAAAAAGATTAAATTTGTGACTTATTGGCTTCTTCCCTGTCTTCAGCACACACAAAGCTTTTTATGTGCTAATCCTAATTACAGTGCACATTCTCACAAGATATAGCTAACATAAATATTCCATAAAATAATAAAGATGTTATTTGCACTAACAGAAGAAGAGTGACAGAAGCAGTGAAAGACTAAATCAATAACTGTAGCTCATCATACAGTAGATCAACTCAACTGTATAGCTTGATTTCTGTGGAAGTTTCCCACTCAATAACCTAGTAAGATGAATATATTTTTCATCTACCAAATTCTGGGAAGAGCACATTCTTTGGCAGAATGACTGCCACATAATAATTGAATTTTAGATATTAGAGAAGACTTACAACATTGAAGAGGAGTGACAATAGCAGCCTTATTTCTAACATACTGCAATACCAGGACATAAAAATTCCAATATAGAAAGTATTTGCAGAGAGATCTTATTAAATCACATGAAATGAATAACCCACATCAGCTGTTTCTAACCCAGAAAAGCGACAAATCCATGAGACTCATCCAGTACATCCTTTCTGGATGTTTTTAAACAGCTTTAGAATGCTAAAAATAGATGTTGTACATTCTCAACCTCAAGGTAAAATTTCAAATTTCTTCAAGGGCATTTAACCTTACTATGTTGATCTTTAAGAATTATTTGGAAGCAGTCTTACTTCTCATCAAGGTCGGCTACTCACTTTTATGCACAGTAAACAGGTAGCAAGATTGATATCTCAGGAATAAATGAAAACTAAATTTTCAATGTGATTCTTCTCCCTATTTCACTCCTCAGAACAGGTGCATGCCAGTAACAAGTGTCAGACACTGGTATTATGCATTAAGCAAAAATTTATAATTTATCAGGCTAGATTGGCTTCAAGAGGTCTTGGTGAGTAGCAGGAGGCAAATGATAGGAAAGAAACAAAATAATCAGAAGCTTAAATTTCCCAGGCAGTACTAAAGCATCTCAGCTCAAGATTATCCTTTTTATGTTAGTATTGTACAAGTGTTAATAACCGTTTTTAGGGCATTTATTTTCAGGCTTAAAAAGTAATCTTCTCTATGCAATTTGTGTTATCAAACATTCACACAATGATCTCTAAAAGCAGAAGTAACAGAATTTCCATTAATATAAAAGCAGAATGTTTCTTCTATTTAAGAAGAACTACAAGGAGATTTTTATGTCTGTTTTATCCATGCATTATGGTCAACACTTGGTTCAGATGAATGTAAACACATTTATTTGTGTTGAATGTTAATGAAAACATATTAGAATACTTCCCACTATATTACTCCTATTTTATTTCCCTTCAAAACAAAATCTCCTTAGTTGAAACAATACACTTAAAAGGCCTCCCCAGTTCTGCCTTCAGATCTGATTCCTGTTTTATCTACCTGCAGGCAGATATCATCTTAGTTCCCTTGACAACTTTAGTTCCCAATGACATCTTTACAGTGTTTCTTCTCTGCAGTTCACTAAAGGTGTGTATTTTTTCTATAACTGTACAAAGTGAGACAATATTCTGGCCAAACATGATGACAGAGCCATTGCCCAATCTGCTTTCTGAAATAAAGGTGTCTATGCTGAAAAAAGCAAGCACAAATTCTGAAAGTAAAAATGTGAAAATTGGGCATGAGACACATCAGTCAACACCTGCACATAGACACTGAAAATTAGATCATTTTAGAGGTACCTGTGCCAACCAGTTCAGTATCTATCCCATCCTCTTACACCTCTTATTTTTCAAAGTGCTCCTCTCATGTAGGCACTTGTACATCCAGTTAGATCTGGTCATTCCTCCAACTACTGAAATTCGTATTATTAATCCCACTAAAGTGGTGACCTCAGGAATTTATACACAACAACAGGGGAGCCTGTGCTACGCAGCATCTTTCATTTCCCAAAAAAAGGATAATTTTTTTACCTTTGTACAGAGTCCAAGACAGCACAGTAACATTCAGGCTTTAATACAACTACACCGATTAGGATAGTCCCAGTAAGCAGAGCATAGAGGACAGTGCACTAGTTACTGCTCAAAGTGTAGCATTTCCTTCCTTGGCAACCAGGAATATTGACTAAGCAAGAAATAATCTGAGACTGGACATTAATAATTTGACTAAACTGAGCTGGTAATCACTTGACAAAGAGGACCAGAGAAAATAGTTCTCACCAATCATTACAGAAATCAGAGGTACTCCAACAGGGACCAGGTCAAATATCTTAATGTATCTAAACCTCAGACTAAAAAAGTTTGAAAACAGAGAGAAGAGAAAATACGCAGGCTCTTGCTGTTTTATGCAACTGTGTATTTCTGAGTTAGCCAAGTACAGTATGATTGTCCTTTTTAAATCTGTCCCACATCTGTACATCTGCCTGCCTCAGTTCTCATCTCTCTGCCTCCTCATTCTTCAAAAAAAAAAACAAAACAAACCACAACAACAACAACAACAACAAAATAAAAACCCACCAGATTTTTTTATATGTACAGGATGTGTGCAAGAAATCATACGGAAGAGAGACAACAGAAGAAACACTCTCAAACTAAGAATACCTTAAGAGTCAGCATGAGGAATGACTGTGTCACAGGGTGAGGAATTAAAATACAGGTTCTTCTTTAAACTAGCAGGTCACATACCTTCAAGAAAACAATATATGCTAAGAATATTAGTGATATCTCTTCTAGTTTGCCTTTCTGTATCAAGGGAAAAGACCTGCCTAACTGTTGGGATTGGAGTACTAGATTAGTTTACTGCTTAACTACTGGGACTAAAGGACACTGTTGGGGGAAAAATATAATTAGGAGTATCAGAGTTCCACCCTTTCTTGTAATAATAATTTTAAAAGTCATTACAAGTGCTTTTACCAGTTGTAAGGTATACCAGTCTCCACCTTCTATGCTTCCTTGAATGTACATGCACTCACTGTTGCAGCTGGGGATGCTGTTTGGCTTTGCAGGTTTTGTGCTGTGGAGAGTTGGCCCTTCAGAGATGGCTGTCCCTGATGTGGAATGGCAAAAAATGAAGAGTAACTATGAAACTGAAAACTCTGTAACATGTACATAGGGAGAATATATTTTCATGTCTGCCAAATATCAAGTCCACCGCACTTTACCATCATTTTGCTCATGAACTCTGGAGGACAAGTGATGCAATGTTGCCACCGTCTGGCCTCTCTAATAACAGCACAAAACCGCAGGAATATCAAAATACACAGCTGTTCACACTCATTACTCTATTAAACTTTTTGGTTTTGACAAAGTGCAAAAAAAATCCCCAAACAAACATACCAGCCATCTTTCATATTCCTCTATAGCCTTTTCATTTTTTAATTCCTTCTTTGCCCGTTGCATTTCTTGCTTTTTCCTCTCTAGGAATTTTTCTACTTTCTTCTTTTTTATATATTCTTCTTTCTTTTCAATCCTATATAATGAGAGGGAAGAACAAGAGATCATGTAACAGACTAAATGCTGCACCTGTGACTGATTAACTAAATTGAGTCAAAAGAGATATTTTATACTTTCAATAAAACTTTGAGAATATATATTTAAAATCTTGCCAGTCCATTTTGATGTATCACCTAGGTATAAATGAACCTACTACTCTATCTGTTATGGCATCTCCTTTTCTGTACTCCTTTTCCCTTATTTAGTATCATAAAAAGCCCCTTAGATTCTGAACCTCTGTAGGTAACTGTAAGTTGCACAAGGTCTGTGAAAACTCTTGGCCTGTAAAACTAACACAGAATTTCTCCAGCAAATACATCTCAGTTCCTTCCTTCCTGCATACCTCTGCATTCATACATTGTATTCCACAAAACTTAAAGATTTACTCACCTTCCTATGGCTTAGTAATGAAGCATGAAACCTAATCACATAAGACATGATACTCAGTGAATCTTACTTCTCTGCTGCAGTGTGTCTGACTGGGCTTAGTAGCCTTTTGAGGAAGAAAGCTATTAAATTACTAAACTGAAAGGAGCTGTACATCTTGCTTTCACTGTTATACTTATTCTCCATCGGGACTGAAGAATCTGATCCCAAGTATGCCACTGTCTTACAACTACAAGCACATCAGGCACTCACAGAAGATCTAATACATTTATAAGTAAAGACTTTGGAAGATATGACACAGCAAAACACAGTGGTGGAGTACCATTTTTCAACTGCTGATATGCTGACTCTCCTCTTCTCTGCAATCAGTTCCTCTTCTTTCTCCTTCCTGATTCTTTCAGACTCTTTTTCCTTTCTGCTTTGCTCTCTTAAATATTCCACTTTTCTTTCTTTCCATCTTTTGAACGCCTAAAGAAAACCAAAGATTCATGAGAAATCTTACCCCTCATCTTTTGTCAATACTCCCCTTGCCTATTCTCTATTATTATTTCTTGTAATTCGACACACGCCAATTTTGGAATATTTGTTTGTAGCATTTCTTAGAAGTGGGTATCACTATGCCTCACAGGAATAAGTTATCTTGATGGCAAGTACTAGTTAAATGTATTTATATGACTTTTATTTTACATTCAGTTAATAGACTCCAAATACAGAAGCACATTTGTCTACAAATGTAAACATTATGCATTTCTGGCAGAACATAACTTAATATGAACTTACTTCAAAAATTAAGCATGTCTAGACTCAGATTCTAGTTCGTTTCCATCTCTTTCTGGGTTAATCAGAATTCTTTTCTACAATCTCCTGAACCACATTCAATACACGTTTTTGTACATATTTCACATCACCACCTGTGCTGCTTCTGTTTTCTCCTTATTCTGTTCTTCTGGGGTTTTTTCCTCAAGTTCCTCAAGCTTCTTTTTTTCACTTAACATCTTTGCTTCTCTTGCTTTCTTTTTTTTCCAGGCTTCAAAACATGCAATTGATTCCTCTCTTCTAAGTGCTTCTTTCTAGATTGCAAATAAAAGTCTACATTTAAATACACTTCAATATAAAATTATAATTGAGATAGTATGCTTTAATATAATTTTTAATGGAGCAATAAAGAAATAGAAATTGATTTGAAGACAACATTTCAAGTATTACTCACAATTAAATTTTAAATATACATGGCCGAGTTTTTTCTATGCTCATTTTTAATTTAGGTTAATCAACTGAAACAAACTACTCCAGCAAAATATGTGTATAAGAATATGAAATACATGTTAAGCGTTTGGCAGTGAAAGATATTAAATAGTTAAATTGAAGAATGTGTATGGTACTATTCAAAATACAGTCCTCTGTAAATAAGTATCTCTTGAGGGAGGGAGTAAACCCCTCATGTTCTGATAGACAATATAAAACTTAGCACCTTAAGAGCTGAGCATCCCAAGGTCTTTGTAAACAAACCTAAAAATTAATCTAAGAAGTACACTTTTAACACACCCTATGTAAATGTGTGGGGAAACATCAGACACACCGTTTGCCAAAACCATAACAAGCAGGACAGGTCATTTAGTGTTCCAAATCACCTTGTGCTCTTTGGAGAAGATCAGATGCCTTACAACAGCAGACTGATGCACTCAGGCAGAAAGCACAGGCAAGCACGCTTCAAAGAATTATAGTCAACTTCTTTTTAAACAAAAGTGAAAACAAACCTTTTCAGTATCGTTCTTCAGATTTTCAGCTTTCTCCTTTTCAGTTCTCTTTAATTCCATTAGAAAGCGCTTTTTCTTTTCCAGCCAATTCTGCAAGAATCATTAAAGACTTATAAAGTCCTTTTAAGGTGTAAGTAAAGAGCAGCACCAATATAATGACCACCAAATTCCTCTTAATTCTTCCATGTGCTACTTAAATAACTACCCCGGGTGGAGGGGAAAACCCATCTGGGCCGCTGATATATGGCGAGACATCGCTACCCGGGTAGAGAAGCTGCTTGTGAGGGTCCACCACGTAGACGCCCACGTGCCCAAAAATCGAGCCAATGAAGAACATCGCAACAATGAACAGGCAGACCGAGTTGCACAAATTGAGGTGTCACAGGTGGACCTAGACTAGCAGCACAAAGGCGAACTGTTCTTAGCACGATGGACTCATGATGCCGCCGGCCATCAAGGCAGAGATGCCACCTACAGATGGGCACGAGACCGAGGGGTGGATCTAACCATGGATGCTATCTCTTCAGGTTATCCATGACTGTGAGACATGCGCTGCCATTAAACAGGCTAAGAGACTGAAACCCCTGTGGTATGGTAGATGGTGGAATAAATACAGGTATGGGGAGGCTTGGCAGGTTGATTATATCACACTGCCACAGACCCGTCAAGGTAAGCGCTATGTGCTCACCATGGTGGAAGCCACCACTAGATGGCTGGAGACGCACCCGGTGCCCCACGCCACTGCCAGAAATACCATCCTGGGCCTCGAAAAACAGGTCCTGTGGCGGCACGGCACCCCAGAGCGGATTGAGTCAGATAATGGGACACACTTCAAAAATAGTTTAGTTACCACCTGGGCGAAAGAGCATGGCATTGAGTGGGTCTATCACATCCCATACCATGCAGCAGCTGCCGGGAAAGTTGAACGGTGCAATGGACTGTTGAAGACTACCCTGAAAGCATTAGGTGGAGGGACTTTCAAACACTGGGATCAACACCTAGCAAAGGCTACATGGTTAGTCAACACTAGAGGCTCCGTCAATCGAGCCGGCCCTGCCCAATCAGAGTCCCTTCACACTGTAGACGGGGACAAGGTCCCAGTGGTTCACATGAGAGGTATGTTAGGTAAAACACTTTGGGTTAACCATGCCTCAAGCAAAGGCAAATCCATTCGTGGAGTTGTCTTTGCCCAAGGACCTGGTTGCACATGGTGGATGATGCAAGATGGAGAAATCTGGTGCATACCCCAAGGAGATATTATCTTAGGGTAAACAGGCCAAACTCTACCCGTATTTGTATCTATATGTATTTGTGAATATGTACATAGTTTAGAATGATGTATGTATATATGGAGTTAAAAAAAAAAAAAAAGGTTCAATTTGATAGATGTATGGTGGCATGGGAAAGGGAAAAAAAAATTAGGGGTGGATAATGTCATAGTTCTGATTTCAGCAAGGAATTTTTCTTTCCCTTCCCCCCTGCGTGTGTGCTCTGTGGATGAGCCATCAGGTGAACAAAAGAATTAGCCTCAGTCCACTAATGGCCGAGATTAGTCTCCTTGACAACGAAGGGGGAGGAGTTGGCTGGTGTGTGACTGGAAGGGGGTGGAGTCTGGGGGGAGAGCTGGGTCTCTCTGCCCTGAGGAGAGGCTGCTGCGGGCTGCAGACACTGCCGGGTTTCTTTGTCTTTTTCCTGTCGGAGGGGAGTTTTTGCTGCTGCTCTCGGCTCAGCTGTGGCTGGCTGCAGGCCCTGCTTACAACGGACCCTAATCAGCTGAAGTTTGTGAGTTTTCTTCCATTGGGAGAACTTTCTGTTTTATTGCTGTTGTTTTTCCTTCCCCTTCTTACCCACCCCTCCCCCCACCTGGCGGCAGCCAAGGATCTCACAGCGCCGCCTGGTGACGGGCACTGGACATTACAAGTTCTGCTCCTCCAGTGATCCAACAGCGCCACCTGGTGACTACAATAGGACACTACAAGTTCTGCACCTTCAGTAACCCAAGAGCGCCACCTGGTGAATGGTACAGGACATTACAAATTTTGCATCTCCAGTGACCCAACGGCGCCCCCTGCTGACTGTGGCTGGAACTGCACCAAAGGGTGCTAAAAATTGAACTATTTAAATTTTCCTTTTGCCGGTTCATCAGTTTTGTTCTTGAAGGGGATTATTGGTGGGTATAGGAGTATTGCTTGGTTGTTTTACTTAGTTTTTTCGTGTTCCTGTTAATACACACATACCTTTTAATAAAGGGCTGTTATTTTTTTGTTTTCCCTTTTCCATAACTTGTTTTCCTTCAATCTGAGCCTCTTAATTTCGGATTTATAATTGCTTAGAAAAAGAAGTTTGGGTCTTTTCCTCCTAATTCATCCTCAGCAAAAGACCCTTGTTCCATTTAAACTAGGACACCTATACCTAAAGAGAATAAAACCCTTCTGGGAAGAGTGAGACTTCAGGCAACCACAAAAGGTTATGAGCAATCTGCTCATAAGAAACAGACTTAAATTTTCAAGATTTAACTATATTATTTGGTATACAGCCTAGAGATACAAGTGTCCTAAATGAAGATTATTTTACCTTTAAAATTATGGAGACAATATGAATATTCATTTGACATTCAATTTGCTCTAGGACCATAACAAGTATTAAAAACACATACCAACATGAACAGCTTCTGTAATTAAAGTTGTTCTCAAATAGATTAGTAGCAAAAATCTGTTGGAACCATAAACTAATCATTGTGGAATTCTACATGGAATTTACATAGATTTTTATTCCAGAGAGAGTACTAGATTTGTTATTACTTTTCCTGAATGCTGGCTGAATAGAACATACCAGGAAAAAAAAGAGCAACTTTAAACTACACACTCATGTTAAAGATGAAGTAGAAATAAAGGAAAATATGTGCCTGAAAACAGTCTGACATGATAAATTATGAATCACAGTATGCCCCTTTCATATAGCTTTTGAGTTCATAATTTGAGGAAAAGGGATAGCCAACAGAATAAAAGGATTATTACTCCTGTAAGCCTATGCAAGGAATATAGTAAGAAATATTGATTTCAAGAAATATGAGGTGTTGACCCCTAAATCAGGAACTTTCTATGCACAGTTTCATTTGTTGGTTTGTTCGTTCATTTTTAAGATCTACCTGAAAAACAGCTGCTCTTAAACTATCTGCTTCATCAAATTCTGTTCTTTTCTTCTGCATGCATTTATCGTCCAACAGGTTTAATGATCCCAGATATTGAGATGAAACAGGTGTAGCTGATGGAACAGGTTTCACCTTTGTCTTTAGGTGCACAGAAGACGGAGACCTATGAAAATACCAGGACACAAACACATTCATGATCTTTCCATTTATTGTAGCTGATACCAAGCACTGTTCCCTTTATTTCAGTACATACCAAAAGTTATTTTGATTGGTTTTTCATATGCGTTTGACTGGGGACTGGGGAAAAGAAAAGGAGGAAGAACCTCTTCTTTTTCTGAGGGCTTTATTACTGCCAAAACAAGCCATTATGCAACACATCCAGTAAAGACTTCAGTAGCGCACACACATCACATACACTGTCAAAAGATTTGGGAGTCTGATTGGATATAAACCTGAGCAAGGGTCATAATAACATGCCTCATCCACTAAAAGGTTTTTCACAGATTGTCAGAGGTTGTCAGCAATGAATACAATGCTGACAGAAAATAAGGATGAAGCAGCATTGTCGGGGCACTTACACGCATCCTACACTGTGCAGACTGTGATAACTAAGAGTCTTTCTCTTACCTGTCAGATAAAGAAGCATTTGGGTTTTGTAGAACTCTCTCCTTTGTTTCACTTGGTTTCTAAGAAACAGAGGAAAATTAAAGTCAGAGTCTCTCAAGCAACGGAACTAGATCAAGATGAAACAGAGTTTTACAAGCTAACAGAGATGTTGAGAGTTGGGCTTAACCCTTACAAGTCCCTTCCAACTTGAGATATTCTATAGTTCTATGATGTTAGAAAAATAGGCAAGAAAGCCACTCTAATACAAAGGAGGTACAGTGCAGGGAAAGAAAGGAAGGAGAAAAAAACAACCAACCAAACTAATACAAATCAAAACTTTCAGAATGCCTGTATAATTTTCAAATGGCACCATAAATGTTTATTTGCATTAAGTAAAAATATAGTCTATAGTTTAGAAATGTAAAGAAATAAAAAGAACCCATCTTGGCAATGGATTTCCTTCTTATTTTATCAACTCTCTTTTAACTCTTTTGAATACTTAGCTTTAACAATTACATGTATCTATGCATTTTCTTTCTTATGATAAAGCATAGAGTGCTTTGCAACTTATCCCTGTATTCCGGTCACACCAGGGATTCCATCCTCTGCCAACATACACTGCTCACTGCAATTTGGTTAGCCTCACAACAGAGATTTGCCATTTTCACTTGGACAAGGATACTTTCTTAAGACTAGAAAACACATGTCAATACCTTTATGTGATTTAAATGACTTGTATGAAAGGTATTTCCTACATCTTCTATAAAGCTATATAGAATTTGGAAGAGTCTCAGCTCTAGAAGCCAGAGATAAACTCTGAGCTTTACAAACAGTATTTTCACATTTAGGTTACCAGCAGTAACTTCACAAAACTTTCCACATTAGGACATTGTTCCATACAATGGCAAGACTCTTATGAGTAATACCTTGACAGAGCTCTTTGATGCATTCTTTGCCTCCCTATGTTCAGACTGACCATTCACTGATACCTCCTGCATTGTACCAGTTATTATTTGCCCTTCTGCTATTTTCATTGTTCCATCTGAACTGTCAGCTGTTGGGTTCTCCAATTCCCTTGTTTTCTCACAGGCTGTGGTCATCATTTGTTCTATCACAGAAGGAGATTTTCTACCACTGTCCTCCAGTTTCAAATCACTGGTGTTGACAGTCTTCTGATCTTCACCTTATGGGAGGAAAAAAGATTGAGAGGACACATTAACAAGAATTTCATGGTTCCTTAGTATTTTTATTTCTGTAAAAAAAACACCTGTCCATGGAAGTTATTACTAAATTTTATACAGTATTTTCTGTATACTTGCTTCTAAGAGAACTACATACTAATAAGAAGAGTATTCCCTTGTTTTAAAATGTAAGACTGGAGTAGCAACTAAGCTTTAACTAACGTTAGAGAATGTGAGAGCATGACAAAGGCAAAACTGCCCATCTGCCTTACCACCCAAATGTAGATTCTACTGCAGAAACCAAAACCAAGAGTTATTGCAATCACAGTAAGAGATCTTCTGACATCTAGCAAACTACTAGTGAAGTCTGCACAACACTTAGGATAACAAAAACTTTCACTGTGTGATGTCTTTCAGGGGTGTGGGACACATGAGGAAATAACAGAAAGATTCTGCAGTGGAGATTTAAAGAAAACATCACCATTAATGCAGAGATACAAATTTGTAAAACAATTGAGACACAAAACAAAAAAGGCCCTGGTGAAACCAAATTACAGTCTTCCACAATTTTCAGACAGAATTCTTAAAAGAAATAGAATTCTTGGATGAGAAGTTAACTCCAAATTACCTGAAGAAAGGAATATCAATCCTCATAATCTAAGAAATTTAACCTAGATTTACAATGATGAAGGTAAGTTCAAGGTGACAAGAATTCTGAATTGAAAACCAATATGCCAGTATCACTGCACTACTTTGATTCACACGAAGCCAAGTAGTTCACCTTCTTCTCTGCCAGTGTAAAACTACACAAGCACAACAGCCAGGACAGAGAAGTGTCTGCACTGCCCAAGTGAACATTCAAATATCCAGCACTTTGGTGCCATCATGTGGAAAGATGAAAAGGAGCTGACATCATTAATCATGCTCTAGCAATTTCAAAGTTGTAATCTTCCACCACAGCTAATGACCAGCCATAAATTTATCTCAACATCAAACAGGACAAATTCCTCTCATATTAGGAATTAGATATGAATATGAAGATTAGAATGGAATTAGATAAGAATATGAATGGAATTGGATATGAATGTGAAGTCTTTTGACATTTTATATTTGTAAAAACACATACAGTTAATTAGCAGAATTCCAAGCTCTGCTTTGCACATTAAAAATGCATGAGCTAGTCTTATAATGAAACATTAAAGTTTGGGGATTTTATGTGTTTGATTATACATCCAAAGTGTGTCAGCATCCTTAAAGTAAAAGATCATTTGAAGTTTTAACTTGGCAATGATGAGACTCAACCATTCTCACATTCTGTTACGTTACAGCTTCATGATGCTTCAGTATCACAGCTTCAACATTGTATTTACAAACACTGTGGTCAAAACTTCCCTGGTCATGGAAAAGGAGTGGCTGTTTGATGACCTTCCCCATGGAAAGATACATGGAGGCTGTGGACACTATGTGAATATGGTTCTGAGCCAGGCACATACTGCGGAGGCAACTCGGTAAACCTCCCACACCATTCACGGACATGCACTGATGAAGAGCTGAACTTCAAGGACCTGAACAGCTGTTTTTCATCTTCTGAAAGGAAAACAGGAACCTCCTGCTATGTAGCCCACAATATTTCAGTTTACCCCCTGGTAGATGGAGGTTATGTATTTTTAGAAGTCTGGCTGCAAGCCAAAGTAGCTGATCGTTAACACAGAAAATAACCTAAACTAAAACACTTTAAAATACTGTAGCATGGCTAAGCAAGTAGCAGCAACAACATTCAAATGCTTTCTTTTCACCTGATGATGAAGCATTTCTTTGTTTGTGCAGCCGTGGCTTTACTGTTGGTTGCTTTTCCTCTTGATTTCTTTTTTTATGTCGTTCATGAATAAGCAAGTCATCACTTTCATTATTATCACACGGTACTTCTTCAGCAGCTGAAAGTGCTTCATTATTTTTTCTGTCATTACCCTCATTTTGACCTTCCAAACATTCTTCTTTACCACCTTTTCTGTCATCCGATATGTTATCACCTTCTAAAACCATTATTTTCTGAAGCTGCTCTTCATGAAATGACAAAGTCAAGTCATCAGCAGGTTCATTTTCCAAATCTGCTAGTTTTTGTGAAGCATCATCATTCATAAGAGAACTCCCAACAGCAACGGATTCACCAATGCTTGCAGCACGTGAATAACCTTCAGTAAATTCTTCCTCAATACCTGTAAAGGGCATATTATCAACTTGCATTTGAGACAAGTGGGGAAAAAAACGCAACACAGAAGCTGTATCTTCTACAATGTAAAACTATTTTTTATACAACATCCTCCTGACCTTAGTTTCTGAGCATTTCTCTTTCTGTGCCTCTTATGCCTGCAAAGCCACCAGACTAAAGCCTTATTTTACTTCCTTTCCTGTCATCTGTTTCCATGGACCCAATCCAAAGAGAAATATTCACTCACTAATTCTTTTCTGCCATGCAATTCAAAACCCTTTTAAAAAACAATGTCTCAATGCCACAGGAAGTGAAAGTAAGTCAACAGCAACAAAGCTAGTCATGTTTGGTATCAGAAGCCTTCCCTTCACTTCTGTGCCATCTAAAATCTACTAGAAGATACTCAGAAAAGTATCTGGTCCAATGCTAAGGTTCACATGTTTGACAAAAATATTTTGATCTTCCTGTAGCCTGTTATGGCTAACTGGCTTAATTTCAGAGTTCAAATGCTTGAGGAAGGTGGTGAAAGAATGTCATGATAGTAATTTATTTACTGCTGGAAGAGCTTGTTTCTAAATCTTGTCAGCAAAGAGAAATCAAAGCATCCTACAAACTGCAAAAAGATGTTTTAAGTGTGAAAGAAAAACAGGACACAGAGAAAGTCCTTTTAAAATTCCTATTTTCCTTAACATGCAGTGCCATACCAGGAAGAAAAAGAGTCATTTGGCCAATCTTGTTAAACTAAACATAAAGTAGTAGTGGGTTTACCCTGGTTGGATGTCAGGCACCCACCAAAGCCTCTCTATCACTCTGCTTCTCAGCTGGATAGGGGAGAGAAAATATAACAGAGGTTCATGAGTTAAGATAAGGACAGGGACAGACCACTCATCAAACAACATGACAGGCAAAACAGACTTAGCTTGAGGATATTAATTGGATTTTTTACTAATAAAATCAGAGCAAGATAATGAGAAGTAAAACAAATCTTAAAACCACCTTTCCCCCACATGCCCCTCCTTCCCCAGTTCTACCTCCTCCCCCCACAGTGACACAGGGAGATGGGGAATAGGGATTATGGTCAGTTCATCTCACGTTGTTCCTGATGCTGATCACGGAGAGGAGTCCTTCCCCTGCTCCAGCGTGGGGTCCCTCCCATGGGAGATAATTCTCCACAAACTTCTCCAGAGTGACACCATCCCACAGGCAACAGCTCTCCACAAACTGCTGCAATGTGGGTCACTTTTCCATGGGATGCAGTCCATCAGGCACAGTCTGCTCCAGTATGGGTCCCCCACAGTCCTACGAGCAAATCTGCTGCAGCGTGGTTTCCTCTCTCCATGGATCTGCAGGTCCCTGCCAGGACCCTGCTCCAGCACTAGTTTCCCACAGGTTCACAGCCCCCTCTCAGGCATTCATCTGCTCTGGTGTGGGTCTCCTCCATGGGCTGCAGATGGATCTCTGTATCCCCATGGTCCTCCATGAGCTGCAGGGGCACAGCCTGTTCTCACCATGGTCTTCACCATGGGCTGCAGGGGAATCTCACCTCTGGCACCTGAAGCACTTCCTCCCCCTCCCTCTCCACTGACCTTGGTATCTGCATAGTTGTTCCTCTCACATATTCTCACTCTGCTCTTCTCTGGCCACAATTACATCTGTACAATAACTTTTCTTTCCTTCTTAAACATGTTATCACAGAGGCATTACCACCATTTCTGACTGGCCCAGCCTTGGCCAGTGGCGGGTCTGTCTTGGAGCAGCCTGGCATTTGCTCTGCTGGACATGGAGTAACCTTCCGGCAGCTTCTCACAGAAGCCACCCCTGTAGCTCCTCTGCGACAAAAACCTGGCCATGCAAACCCAATACAAAAAGCAAACATAAAATGCATCCCGGATCAAGAAAAACAGCCAGACCAAAACTCTTCACGGTTTGTGTACAGTGCCAGGGAAGTATGCTCTGCAGTGTGTCCTAAAAGCCATTATTCACTGATTGTCCAGAGTGGGAAAACAGGAAGAAAAAAACAGGGCTCTCTCTCTGCCCATTTTCACTTTCATTCACAGTACTGTGCACTACTACAGGTGACAAGTAAACAAGATGGCTACGGAGGAAAACTGGGCATCACAATGGTAGGAACCAGTACAGACTGTGTCTGGTCTAGCAGGCTGGCACCACCACTGATTTCATTGGGAATTCTGCTCCTAACTTAGAAGAGGAGGACTCAGTGATTTAGAAGCTGTTAAAATATGAAATCTTGGAACACTAAATCATATTGACTCACAAAGATTGGCTGGGCTATAGCAATGAGTTAAGAAGAGGAAGAACACAAGGAAAAATATTTAATTCTGTTTTACCATTTAACATGCCATCTTCATCACTCTCAAAGTCGTCTGAGTATTCATCTGTTTGCTCGCTTGATGCATGAGCAGAAATTGCTTCCTTTAGCTCATTCTGAAACGGTTTCACAAATAACTTTTGCATAGATGGAAAGATTTAATTGAAAAAGTTCATCACTAATTCCCCCCTCCCACACATACATAAGTAAAACTAAGCAACAGAGTTAAGCCTGATTAACTGATAATTATTGTGAAGGATAGTGCTTCCATTCTATCACCATTCCCCCAATATTTCTGTGTTAAAAAACAAACAAACAAACAACAAATCTCCATGTATTAATTTATATTTCTTCTTCACAAGAAATATACCTTGCAAATCCCTTTTCCATTTTTGGCAATTATGACATATCATCATGTGACACTCCCCCCCCCTTTTGTATGTTTTGATCAGCAAGAGCACAAGAGAAGGGCCTAGGAGAGCAGGTGAGCACTGACTGTTGCAAAGCAAGTGCCTGAAGCAGGTGACACTTTCAAAACAGTGGAAGGACTTCACATATTTTGGACTCTCTGCTGCAGGACATCCCGAACACATCACATTTAAATGGGTTCTGAAAGCCACTGGCCCTACTTATAGATGAAAAACACATCAAGAAATGCAGCATCATCTCCAGATTCAAGGCCCTGAGCCCAAACCACGGAAAGCTGGGGAATAGGTGTTTTGACGCGTGTCTGAGGAGCTTCCCGGGGCGCCTGCTGGTGGCCGGCGCTGCCTGGAGCGAGCTCCGGCCTCGGAGCCGCCGCTTCCCAGCCTGGGCACGGGGAGCCCCTTCCTGGCGTCCCCGCGGAGGGAAGCCTGCTTCCCCGCTTTCATTTTGACGGCACAGCGCATTGTCGTGGGTGTGCCGGCTTTAACAGCGAGTTACTCCATTCCCGGTGACAGAAACCCGCCCGCAGGCCCCGCTCCCCGCAGCCCGCGCCGCCGCCGCTCACCTGCACCGCCCGCCCGGCCGCGCCTCCGCCCGCCATGGCGGCGGCGTCTCGCCTGCAGCTCGCAGTGCCCGAGACCGCCGTCCTGCCCTCCGAGAGCCCCGGGGAGAGTCCCGAGGAGAGCTCCGGGCCCGGCCCCGCCGCGGTCCCGCCCGTCTCCCGGCAACGGCCGCGCCGGCGAGTGCCTTCATTAGTGGGTCACAGCCGTGCGTGTCCGCAGCGCCGCTTCCTTAGCCGGGCCGCGGCCACGCTGCACCCGCGCCGGGCACACACCGGCGGGCTGGCGCTGACGGGGTTTGTTTGTTGATGCCCACGCCCTGCATGTGGCCCTGTTCCCACAAGGTGCACATCCACACGTGCGTGCCGCTCGGAGCAGGGCTGGCACAGCTTCATCGGCCCCGCTCTTGCAGTCAGGCCACTGTCCAAAAATTTCCTGCTTAGGATTTGAGCGCTGTCCACAAAAAACGTATTTGTGTCAGTGCTTTCTGGAATAAAGATCTCCTGGCACCCGAGTGTCAATTTAAATGACATTTTAGAGATGAAGGAATTACACTGGCGTAAACCACCTGGTGCTTGCACCTCATAGAATAGAATAGAATTAACTGGTTTGGAAGAGACCTCCGAGATCATCAAGTCCAACCCTTGATCCAACCCCACTGTGATTACTAGATCATGGCACTCAGTGCCACATCCAGCCTCATCTTAAAACCTCCAGGGGCGGTGAATCCACCACCTCTCTGGGCAGGCCATTCCAATGCCTGATCACTCTCTCTGTAAAGAACTTCTTTCTAATATCCAACCTCCTAATACTCCGACTTTTATTTCCCCAAAGGGTGGTTGTGCAGTGCACCTGGCGAGCCCCAGGTGACCAGACACACTGCCAAGCAGCACACGTTCCTGCAAAGCTGGCTGTCCTGGAGGTCACCTGTCCCCTGCACGAGCCATGATGGAGGCATCTGAATCCCAGGGCTCTCCGGGAATCTCTTGAATCAAAGGAAAGCTGTCGACTTCATGACTGTTTACAGATACGGACATTTCTATTCTTTCTCCAGGTTAAATACTTCTGATCACTCCTTTTCTAAAATAAGACTAGTGCTCCAGTTGTCTTAGTGATAATAAAAAACTTCTGACATGTTCTCTGTACTGGTGGTATATTTGCATGTATTAATATCTTCCCCAAAATGCATTGCATTTTTGTAAATTGTACAGAAGAAAATCTCTCTGACAGAAACCGGGAGAGAAAATGTAGGACAGAGCCTAGAGCCTTAGGACTTGTTTTCCTCTTGTTTATTTATGTAGAGTTATATTTTAAAAGCAGTGCAGTTATGCAAAGGCCACAACACACCTGGGGGAAAGAGGCCCTGAATTCTAACAAGTAACCTTGGATTTAAACTAACAATTACCTGTCAGTAATTAGTTGATACTTAGGTATCATCTGTGAGCAGCTCCTTGCTTTGTTTACCTATATTTGTATATGACCAAATATTGCTAGATCTGCTGATTACTCATAGTATTTGTTGAGAATTATGCTTGATGCACGGGTTTTTTTCTTCTATTTTATTCACATGTGAAAGCCTTAAAATTGAATCTGTGCTATTCCATCTCTCTGTGAAAGGTGAAACCAGACATACTTGTTAAGAATTTAAAAAGGAATAAAGAAGAAATTAATATATTCTTTCTCTGTAATGATGTTAGTGTTTGCTGTTGAAGGCTAAATTATGTCCCTTTTACAAACCACTGAGATGCACATTTTATTCAATTCCAAAAGGTGGCAGCAAAATATTTTAAAATTGAAAAATTGGTTATTTTTTTCCCATTTTATTCTAGCTTCTTTTACATTTTCACTGATGTATATGGGATTTTTAAAATTCATTTAGCCTTGCATACACTGTAGAAAAGGAAGATTTGTCTTCAATTATTGTGTTATTTATATGTCAGATAATGGGTCCTTATATCACCTGTATTATTAAATATTCAATGCACTGAGTTGATTGTATGTAGGGGGAAAAAAAAGATCAATACTGTCAGCACTGAAGAACTCAAAATGTGTGAAGATGTTTTTGTCAGAACACATGAACATCAGGTTTGCATCTTCTAGTCTTACCTGAGGCAAAAATCCCATCGAGACTCACTGAGGTGAATGGAACTTATGCCGAAATATGAATCTAGTGCTTTGAGTACAGACTTACTTAACAAAAAAAAGCAAAACAAAAACCTTCCCAAACCGAACAAAAAAAACAACCAACAAAACCCAAACCCAAAACAAACAACCCCGCCAAAACATGGAGGTTTATTGAGGACAAAAAGCAGAAAATTTAAGGCATTGTATGTCTGAATGTGAAGTCGCTCTTTCTCTCTTGAGTAGACCTGAAGCATAGAAAAAGAATCTAAATGATCCCAGCAATTATATTAATTTGGCTAAAATAAGCTTAGAGGTAACATTCAGCTCTGCTGAGCAAATGTGTGTGAGTCTCTGCCATGCTTAGAGTCTTAAGAAAGAAGGTTTTTAAAACAAGCATCAGGATGCAAGGTGATTACAGTCTGTAGGACCCATGTTATATTCAGAAAGCAGTCAAGTATGAGTTTTTTGGATGGCTAGCTCATGTGCTATAAACAACTTCCAAAAGTGGTTTATTTTATTAATATGGTTAGAGTTAGTAAGACAGGATTGGGGATTTCTTCTGAACAAATGACACATAGATTAAAAATTCTAAAATCATACAGCGTAATTTACCTTAAGTCAAAATGTATAAAAAAACCTTACAGGAGAGAAATGTTGTTCTGCTTGCTTTGGTACTCCTTCCCATAGTTAAAAGTTGCACTTGAAAGGAGATTTAATGTCATGAAAAAATCTCTGAGTTGGTGTAAATTTGTGTAAAAGGTGATTTTTTTTGTTGGTTGCCAGGGTCTCCACTCATAAATGATTGTTCCTGTTCTTGATATCAATGTGAACTAGACATCTAGCTACAAGTGCATCTGGCTTTTGGATCTTGCATACATATTGGATAGGAGACTAACAAGTAACTTTGATTTTAAACAACAAGCTCTTTTATCTATGGGCCACCATCATAGACATTTTTAAGCACAAACATTAAAAATTAATCTCACATTTTTCTCCCAGTTCATATGAAACAGTCTGTTATAATGTGCCATGTTTTGCAGGGTTATACCTGTCCTGCCGAAATATACTATTCTTTTTATGCTTGTATGGAAATAAAACCAGAAATTTAATCAACTTCGTGCCTTTAGGGTTAGATGTGCCAGGGAGTTACATTCCTTCTCTTCAAGTCATCCTGTATAGACATGTCTGAGCTGCGCTTGACCTTTGCTATCTCAGATGGTAAGAGCAGCATCATCACTTTGTTAGGAAAACATTCAGAGAGCAGAAGAAGCTGGGTGAGTTCCTCAATGAGCTTGTAGCTTACCATGCATATTGTCCCACCTCAGCTACTGGGAAACCCAAAAGTGCCAAGACTAGTTTAAAATCCCTCTGGATTAACTGCAAGAAAGTCACCTACCACCATAGAGAAAGGCACAATAGGACTTCAGCTATCTCCTCACCTATGTAATTTTGAGTAAATTACATTCTTTCTCAGAGAACAATCTATTCAAACTATGACATTGTCACTCTAACTGGAAAGGATTTGACAATTCACCTTAATTAACTTAATTCATATGGGCGGTCCATTGCCAATATCCTGGGATTATTCCACAGCTGCTCCTGCAAGAGCTGAAAAACTTGGCTTGCTCCTTCTAAAAATGGCTGTATCTCTCAGTCACTCCTGGAGAGACAGATTTAGGTATATTTCTTTACCATCTGATTTTATTTATCTTTTAAACAAAAAACAAGAGTTAAACTAATGCTCAGTTTGAACAGCTAAGCAGGTAAGAGTTGGGAAATACCAAAATCAAGGATATTAATGTATACTTCTCTCCTTTTCCTTTTGCATTTGGACTATTATGCAATGTTTAATTAAACAAATGAATTTAAATATTTATTAACTTTATTTTATTTAAAACATCTTTTTCAGGATAAAAAGATACATTTCTTTGTTTATTTGTCTTAAAATAAACTGTCATTATTCAGTGATTAACACAGCAGCTTGGTCCCCAGTACATAAAGGGGTTATATTCCAATGGGTTACAAAATAACTATATTCCTAATCAAAATAACGATTTATTTAACCACATCTGGGATCACAAACTATCAGATTGAAACATCAGCTTAAAATTTAGCTTGACATTTTCTTGATCATTCCTACAGGAAGCCTCATGATATGAAAAACAAATATTTCTTGTTTAACTGGAACTATATTCAGTGTTTTCCTACCATGTTCCCAGTAGAGAGCAGCTAAGTTTGTTATAATGCATTCTTAATGCATTGAACATAATATTATCTATAAAATGTGGTGCCATGAAAATTAGATGGAAGTCCCTGTTGTCATCAAATTCATCCTCTCCCTTTTGCATCTTAATGATGATTTTTAAGTAGTTAGAAAAGGTGCTGTCAGGGTAAGGAGGTATGTAAACTTCACTTAGTGGATTGCTGTTCTCAGGCACTTTACCAGGAAAGTTGAATTTGATAAAATTAATGCCTACAGAAGTAAACGTAGATAATTGTAGGAATAAACTGAAAAACTGGGGCAAAAGAAGGGAGAAATTAAGATGAATAAATTCACAACTACCTCATTTATATGGCAGCTTATGAAGAATACATCTATTCTTGACTGATTAATTTATTCCTGAGCATTAGACTTAGAAGCAGTAGATCGAGGTAGATATAAAAAAAAACAAAAAAAGGAAAGGGAAAAAAAAGTATCCTTGACTTTTTAAAGTTATTTTAAGCTTTTTTTTTTTTAATAGTACTTGATATGATTTTAAGGAAAAGTATTGGAACACAGAGGAATGAGACACAGCTGTCTCAGTGTTGTGCTTGGTCATAGAAGCAAGCAACAAACTTTTCAAACAGACAAAACTTGTATGTGTTGGTGACAGCAGATTAGACTTCCTGTATGGGCAGTCAGAAAATGCAAACCTTTTCATGTCAAGGGGTGT